AAAAAGCAATTAAAAAGACAATATACATCTAGCTGACTATTGAATGTTAAAACTTATTTATTAATGTTTCATAACTACAAGCATTAATTGAAATAGACCAATGATTTATCAATGTAAAGGGAAGCAACTCGCTTCTGAAGGGTTGCCGGTACAAGGAGGCGCCTTAAAGGGAATAAATTGGATTGTACCAACTCATTTTGAAATTCGATTGTGATCGATACTTTCTATAAAAAACACATCAGAAGATTTTTCTTAATGAGTGAAAACTTAAAAAGTATGCGTGTGCATTGTTGTTAACGAATAGCGTATTGTAATAAGTTGAGTCCAGGACATCCGTTTCTTTTTTTACAAGGGATGATCACGATAATGATGATGGGTGGCTACTCAACGTCCAGCTACAAATTAATATGCATATTCAGGACGAGAACAGGTTAATGTAATAAAAATATTTACCCTACTTTGTACTAGTCCGATGCGCTGGCATGAATTTAGCATGCTAGTTCAACTTCAGAAAAAAAAGCATTTAAAAGCTAGCCAATTGTTGCTTGTAATGTTTCCATAAAATTTATGACCTACCAGTAGCTATCTTCCAATATTTCATTCTTCATCTACGTATATACCTCATACGTGTTTACTATAGAATTTAAAGTTTGAGAGGAAGCATAATGACTTGTCACTTTTACCTACATTTTAGAAAATAGCAAAAATCTTCATTGATTTATATTTAGGCAATTGATAAATATACATGTATACTGACGGACTTTAAAAACGCAACACATATTTTTGTGATTTTCTTTACCAAATCATGATTGATCATCATAGAACCACTATTCAAGCTTACCATATTTCTTTTTGTTTAGAAAAATTCAATACCTGATTTCCTGAGGTGATTGAACATACTGGATAATTGATGTCGCACAAATTTCTTTAAACAAAATTTGGAACCCATTATTGATTTTTTGAAGATTTTTTTTTCGTGAAACAATTTTTTCTATCCATACCCACACTTGAATCATTAAAAAATTGTTGCATCTCCATATTGACGAGACTGAGCAATGAAAATCTGAATCAAACCGTCAGAATATTGCAGGCAGGAATACGTGAACGTGCTGTTTCCAGAAAATTTCACGTCAGAAACTCGTCTTACTGTCCTTACAATAATTAACACTGTTACAGGCAGACGGAATTTGTTGATGACCATCCATGACCAGATTAACATGCAGTGACAACACCACGTCAATACAATTGGATTATGCAACGTTATTTGATAGACATGTTTACGGCCGCAACGTCAACTGCTAATCTAGCTAGTCACCGAATGCCATGGCAGACAGATTCATGCCAAAAATGTTTCCCATAAACTGAAATGCCAAAGAATCGTGTGCAGAAAAACTTTTAAAGCCCTAAATTTTTAACCGCTTTATTGCCAAAAGACACTGTAATGCATGGGACAGAGAACAAATCAGAAGGTACAAAACAGAACTCAAAACATACCCATCAGACTTGGTTGACCTTTCTGACATTCATTTTGGCGTTAATGACCGGCAGTCATTGCCTTTGACGGTCACACATCTACTAATAAGGGGAAAACCAGGGTTTCAGTGCATACCACATGATTTGAACATTAAAAATGACGTCATCAATTCAACTTTCGAACTGCAAAACTTTGTTTTAGGCATTAAAGAAATGAATAAAATTTATGATTATATATTTATTTTACAAACATTGCATATTTGAAAATGGTAATAAAAAAAACCAGAATAATCAAGTGTTGCGTTTTTAAAGTCCGTCAGTATATATATATATACAATGTACATATGTTGATTTCATCCTGTACTTTACTCCAAACACTTGAAACTTTAGTTATTAAAATCTAAATCATTGTCTCTAATTTCTCAAAGAAATCGACATAGTTTAAACGCGGACCGCGAAGAGGACCCCAAAATGAACTGGTAAAGAAAAAGAAATATCCATATTACAGCTTGCTCAACATGGAAGCGGGGGTAACAGTAGACTTTATTTGTACAATTAAAAATAAAGCAAAAATTTATTTGTATACCTGTTATTTGTTCAATAGTTGGCCAATTACTGGATAAAAAAATCATTAATCATATCAAAGATAATTCATTAAATAATAGATAGAGATACTTTTTTTTCTTTTCTTAGTGTGAGGAGTACTTAGTGAAATTGGTTGGATTTTCTTCCTATGAGTGCACGTGGGAGCCGGCTGATCATTTACCTGCCTGTTTGATTCAAGAATTCCGAGAGAACCAACACAACCACTGCCACAGAATCTACTACAAGACGCCAGTGACAACATTTTGGCTGTCTTTTAAGATATACTGCATAGAAGAACTGGCTCGCATTTCTATATTGAAATTAAACATAACATTTTTAGAAATATTTTGAAGGCTTAACCTGATTGTTTATAATATGAAATCAGACTTCGATAATTTATTGTTTCCTAATTGCTGGTATGTTGTTTTTTATTCAAACCAAGGGGAATGTAGGAAGATCAAGTTTCCAATTTTTGTAAAACCAATTCTTCGGTGGACAAAAAAACAGTTTGAAGTTCAAGGAGCTGATTCTTTTATGTTATGCAAGCAAAGGCCAAAAGAGTTTGTTAAAATTGAATTCGGCACAAAGAGGGAAGTAGTGAAAATTGTCATTTAAATAAACCTTTTCAGTGAAAATGGTTTTTCAAATTAATAAAAACACTAACTTTACATCATTACCTAAATTAAGTAATTGACACTACAATAGAAACGCAAAACGTTGAACAATCCACACAAAAACAAACATGGATTCACACTCCTTCTAGATAGGGGAACAGTTCTGAAAATACACAGCATTTACAGTGAGACAAATATTTCGCCGATAAACATAATTAATGATAATTTGAAAAAGAGTGTTCTTCCGATTAAAGAAAACTGTGTTCCATTTGAATCAAGGTTTTTTTCATTTGTCCGGAAAACACAACTCAAAGCTAGCCGTGTAACAGGTGGGCGAGGGCGGGACGCTTTTCCACGGGAAAATGTACATTTGCACGTGTTTTATGATAAATTTGTTCTAAGAGTGAATTATTGGCGGAAGAACGTAAAATCTATAATGGTAAGCTGAACTCGTTATATGCAGAACTTTTGACAAAAGAAAAACAATTAAACTCTCTCAAATTAAAGTCTGATGACTATCAGAAAAATTTGAGGTTGTATGAAGAGGCAAATACAGCCTTAAATAATTACATTGAAAACTTACAAAGCCCTCTAGTAAATAAAGGTAAGACAATACCAGAGTGTAAAAGCAGGAAACAGTCAAATAAAAAGATAAGTATTCTTAAGGAGAAGGTAAACAAGGCTCTATGGTTTGCTAAATCGTTTTGGGTTGATTTACAAGAGTTAAAGGTAGTCGACTCAGCAGGTTCTACGCATGACCTCTTAAAAAACACAAAACCTGTTGGCAGGTATGATCAGCTGCCAGAGACGGAGCAAGATAAGGTAAAAAGTCTTTTGTATATTCTTGGTGTTTCTGACGATGCTTATCATGAACTTGTGTGTGTATAATGACGGACTTCCAAGATCGTACTTGATAAAACAATGTCGTCAGGATATCAATGACATGTGCACTATAACTCAGACCCCTGGTAAAAGTCCGGGTGCTCAACTCACGTTGAAAGAAACTCTAGATAGACTCCTTACTAGACATGATATAGAGGGCTTAGAGATACCTGTCATTCAAATAAAATTTGCAGAAGATGGTGCTTAAATGTCCCGAATGTCAAACTTTTTGGTTTTATCGCTGGCTGTTTTGAACAGCGGCGAGGAGGTCATGTCCGTGTCTGGGCAACATACACTCGCTATTGTTGGTGGGAAGGAAGACTTCATATCAATACAAGAATCCTTATCAGATATTTTCAAAGACATAAACAGTCTTTTGGCAAAGAGAAATGAAATTGGCTATATCCCATATCAGTCTTCGAGTGGCCAAAAATACTTATAAGAGTTATTTCAAGGAGGGGATATGAAGTTTTTATTGATTTCACTCGGTTTAAATGCGGCCAATGCAAATTTTGCATGCCTTTATTGTAAAATAGAACAGAAAAATAGATACAATGTGAGTAAAAGTGCAAACTTTTACAGGCACGACAATTTCAAAAGATCAATTGAAGAAATGATAAAATTATGTAAAAAGAAAACAGCAAATTACGGTTCAATTCATCCACCTTTGCTGTATATAGATCTAGATCATGTGGTCGTCGATGAACTTCATTTAATGATGCGAATTGGAGATGTGCTGTTGAGAAACTTGATAGAAAATGCCATCAATATGGATCAAAAGGAAAATTTTGGAAAAAGAACAAAGTGCAGTAAGCGGGTTGATCAAGTTGTAGAGTTGATAAGAAGTTGTGGTATATCCTTTTCTATTTGGGAGAATAAGGTCAAGGATGGGATGGTTGACTCTATAGATAAAAAATAAGCCAAAAAAAAGAAGAAAGAATGGAGACTATGTTTGTGCTAAAATATTAAGAATAGAGAATAATGCCTCAGAAAATGAAAGACTATAGAATTGAAGGACCTCATCCAGACCTTCCTATACTCTTTGTTTTTATTAGTTCTATCCTATTTCTTGGTGTTCCAGCTAATCTTATTTCATCCAGTCTAATTCACCCAGTATATACCAGTACCCTATAACCTCACAAAAAACTTCCAGATACCGATATACAATAACATCATATATATACAAATCTATTTAAAAAAAATACTTCTCTCTAATGAATACCAGTTTACATTTTATTCGTCTTGTTATGAATCACACAAGCACTTATTATCAAATTATAAGACAATTACAGGTAAAAAATATATTAAAATATTGCTTGTACAAATAGTGCACATTTTTCATATTGACATAACATTTCGACTGCAAGTATGACGTTCAAATTATTATCGGATTGATTCCGGTATTGGTCTGCGACTTACCTTCACCCTCAAACCGGAAATCAACAAGTGTTCTGATCTGATGATTTTCTTTGGGTAAATGTTGTATTTTGTAGTGTTAAAGGTATTTTTATATCGATTTGAATGAAGTCCTATTTTATATTTTTAGTTTTTCATCATCTTATAAGGTTGTCAAGTTTGTCATATGTATATTCTGTATGTACTGTGCTGTCGGCTTTGCTAACTAGCTAGGGCAAGGATTTGTATAGTGAGACTATACAAATCCTTGGCTAGGGCAAACAAAATAATACATGTGTTTCCGCTAACGTGCTGAAAAAAATAGGGTAGGTAGGTAGGCAATATCATTTTATTTTAAAAACATTTTTTAATAGCTGGTTACTACTAGGGAATCAGTCTGACTTTAACAGTGCTTGTTCCAAAATGGCATAAAAAGTGTTAGGGAAGGCACTAAAAATAAGGGTAGGTAGGGTTAGCGGAAACACATGTATTAATATTTTTGGCCTAACGACTTTATCGGTTTATCCAGGTCAGGAATAACCATTAAAGGGCATTAGCTATCAAATTCTCATATTTGATTTATAACATACTAAAATGTATTTCCAAATTACAATAAGTCTGAAATAAAGAAAAAAACAATGCAGGGAGTCGATAATATGTATCAGCATTTCATGTGTATTTTCTTCTTCTTCTTATGGTATCCAGTTATCCATCAGATTTTGATGATTACTAACTGTTGCACATGCGTAGGATAATAATAAATAAATATTTACAAAAGAATAGTTCCAAAAATAAACAAATACTAACATGACATGTGGTTAAAACTATATACATAACTACTAGGTTTACTGTTCTATATTGTAGAGAACAGTAGGTGTCAACTGTTCTCTAAAAATATTTAGAGTGGGAGAAAGTACTACCTTTGGAGGTAGTACATTCCATTGTGTAATAGTAAACGGAAAAAATGAATATTTGTAGCAGTCTTTAAATGTAAGTAGGTGTTTGTAAGTTTGTGGATGAATTTGTCGGGTTCTATTGTCTGTTGGTATGAGTAATTCTGATGGTACAGCGACAATATGGTGAACAATTTTATAGAACATTATAAGTCTAGTTTTAAGTCTGCGTTGTTGTAAGGTAGGCCAATTTAGAGTAATGAGCATGTCTGTAACGCTACTGGTGTTGTGATAACGATTACAGGCATACCTAGCAGCCCGACGTTGAACCATCTCAAGTTTATTGCATTGTTCAGCAGTATGAGGGTTCCAAACCGAACAAGCATATTCTAGTTTTGGTCGGACAAGTGCTAGGTACGCCTGAGACTTAATGTTTGTGATGGATGTTTTTAGATTTCTTTTTAGAAAGCCTAGGCTTTTATTAGCATTACCAATGATGTTGTTTGTATGCGGGGTCCATTTTAAGTCGGATTGCAGTGTTATACCAAGATATTTAGCGGAGGAGACAGATTCTAGGGTATGGCTGTGAAGGATGTAGTCGTGTTTAATTGTATTTTTCTTGTTTGAGGCAGTGAGAACTGTACATTTGTCAGGATGGAAAGCCATCAGCCAGTCTTCTTCCCGATTTGCAGCAGCATCAAGATCTTCCTGAAGGCTATCACAATCTTTTTTAGATTTGATGCTTTTGTAAATGATGCTGTCGTCTGCGAACAGTCTGAGTTTACTGGATTTCAAATATTCTGGTAGGTCGTTTATATATACCAAGAATAGAACGGGACCCAGAACTGTTCCCTGTGGGACACCAGAAGTAACTGGAGCAACATCTGATGACTCTCCATCCAGGACAACTGTTTGTGTGGGGTTGGATAAAAAGGCAGACATTTTAGTCTATAAATAAGAACAATGTCTATTTATTCACACAAGTCTTTAATGTTGAACATTGACCCAGGTCATTTGCAATGAAACATAAAACATTGTTAGCATTAATCATGTTAAGGAGCACAGTTGAGTCCATAGTTATAAATTCTTGATCCAATGTAGTGTCATGTTATATACCATTTTAGTTTGAACTCTAGAATGTCAATTGTTTAAATCATCAACAGATGACCGTGGTCATAAATAAGAACAATGTCTATTTATTCACACAAGTCTTTATTGTCATGAATGTTGAACATTGACCACGGTCATCTGCAATGAAACTTAAAACATTGTAAGCATTAATAAGCACAGTTGAGTCCATAGTTATAAGTAATAAATGTATATAGGCAATTATAACCCTCTAGTCTAGACATTGTCACAAAATATTAATGAAATGAGCTCAACCTGTTATGAGATATTGTGCATGATGTTTAAAAAAAACAGACTCCTAAGGGAGCTACCATTTGATTTTTATGGGGGGGCTAGGATGAAAAATTTTGTCCTGCCTTTTTTTTTTTCCCTCTTTTCAGTCCTGCCTTTTTATTTTTCACTCTATTCGGTCCTGCCTTTTTTTTTTAGTTTATCCGGACCTTTTTTTTTTACATAAATTGTCATCCTGCCTTTTTTTTTGGGAAATAATCTCATCCTGCCTTTTTTTTTACTCAAAACTCCTGTCCTGCCTATTTTTTTCAAATTTCATCCTAGCCCCCCAATAAAAATCAAATGGTAGCTCCCTAATGTTGTTATGGTTGTCTATATAAAGAATAACTATACATTGTCTCAAAATATAAGATTTATTTGTACAAGACTGAGAAACTGGTAGACTGGAGGCTTTGCTAAGCATTCTTATCATGTTCTTCCTTCTTCTTCTTTCCTCGGGGGCCGAGTGGTCTAAGTTACTCATTCTAAGTAGTTACTACTGTAATCACTAGCCAGTCAACACTGAGGTTGTGAGTTCGAACCCCGCTCGTGCTGGTGCACTTGACTCCAATCTTAATTGACTAGGATTGTCAGTTTTCCTATCGAAGGTCGGTGGTTTTCTCCGGGCACTCCGGCTTCATCCACCAATAAAAACTGGCCGCCACTAAATGGCCCAAAAGCGGTGCTTAAAAGTGGCATTAAAACACCAAAAAATCAAAAAAAAATCAAATCTTCTTTCCTCAAGGCTTTCCCATTTTAATATTTTAACCATATTTGTGATACAGCCAGGTGTTCGGTCTATGTAGTACGTTGTTATTCACAAATCTTGCTGCTCTTTTCTGTACCAGCTGTATTGCCTTGATCTTATTTTGGTTTGTTTATTGTGCATGTTTATTCCACTGTAGGTCTTTTCATGGATACATATATATGTATGTAGGAAGGAGATGATCCATCTGTTGGTTTTAGAATTTATGTACATGTATATACACTGTTATATTTCAACTTGCGCAGTAGACAGTTTCAAGCCAAGTAAAAATGAAGTTTCATAACAAATACAGAAACTGTTATTTGAATGTTGATAGAATTATTTAAATCTGAAATCATAATAATTAATCTCACATGTTGGTCCATGTTTAACAACATGAACAATCAAAAGCATGACAAGGTTAAATGCATGCAGATATTTCTGAATTTATAGTACTTAAATAAGTGATTTTATCTTAGCTATAGGAATTAATTATTGCAAATGGATAATTTTTTTCATTACAGATTTAGAAATTAAAGACATGAAAAAACATAAACTGAGGTCACATAATGGCATCTTATAACAGTACTGATGCAGATATAGGTTGGTTATATATATAGTGTTTTAAAAAATTGTCATAAACTTTGAAATGCAAATTCTTAAGTTTAAATAGTCATGTTTCATTTGGCTTTGGTTAAAGTTATGATTCACAGTTCTGTACTGACTCCAAGTTTTAAAATACCTTGAAAAATCAATCATTTTTATTATTTGAGAACTATTTAAGATTAAGGTAGCTGAAGTGTCTAAATGTTCAACAATAGATTTTTCTAAAACTTCTGTAAAAGACTTCTGGGTCAATATACATGTACTTTCAAATTCAAATTTAAAAACTTGGGGCTCGAACCTTTGCTTTTTCTTTAAAATACATTGAAATTAACGAAATCACAGTTATTTTATTTGGTTTAAATAGGGGAAATTTAATTTTTCCTTATTGTGGAAACATTAAACGATAGAATTGGTTAAAATTCAATGAGAGAATTGCATTTCAAAATATCAAATAAGATTAGGGGTATGGCCCAATATTTTCCTGAAAAATCAAAAAAACACAAATAATCCTATTCAATTCAATATAATTATCCACCCTTGATGTTAAGAAGATTATTTCTGAAAATTAAAAAAAAACACTTAATGACACTGAAGTTTTTGATAGTTTAATCTTAAAATCTCAAGTTTTTGATGTTTATGCTGTAAATTGAATGATACTTGGTAAAATATTTTTAAACAAAAAAACTATTTTTGCAACATGCCCAGACATGCCAGAAGGGATGCTCAGAAATAGACAACCAGTCTACCTTAAGATGATGTTGTATTATTGCCAATAAGACAACTATCCTCCAGCTTCCAAATGGCATAGATGTATTTCATATTATTGGCCACTCCATTTGGTTGATAGATTTAGAATTGTATTGTCCATTATTTTTTGACTGAGGCATTACAGAGGAGAAGGTTCGATAAGGCCCTTCCTTAAATGGACCCTATTTCTAGCTATGTACAATTTCAAATTAGGATTTATTGAGCAATATCACAATGAGTCATAGCTAATACAATGAAAAGATAGGGAATATGTCTATTTTGTTCAATATTTGCATACTTGCATCATGACATCACAAATAGCACTAACTTTGATTTTCGACGAAAAATTCAATGGAAACAGAAAATTTCAATTAATTTTTTAAATTGGAACCATAGAGCACATGCTTTGACAAAAAAGATCTTTTTAAATAAAGTTTGTTATAACATTACTTATCTGACATGAATATTTTGTTTATCGACGCCTGTGCTCTATGATTCCTCGGCCCAAATTCGGTTAAAATCCTGACAATTTTGTCAAATTTTGCGAAAATCTCTCTTGTTGGCCTATTTTTGGGATGAAAAAAAACAATATAAAATGAAACTTTGACAAAAAAAATAGTTCTATTTAACTTTCTTACATGCATGACATGTCTTTTCATCAACTTTTTTTTTTTATCTTGAAACATTGAACTTTATAATCGGGGCCAAATATGGTCCGTACTGAACTTACTCCTTTTGTGTGTTAAGGTTTTCTGCAAAAGAGTTATCTTTATATATATGTATACAGTGTTTGAACGTTTAGGTCTGGATTATTTTTGGTTGCAAGCAAGACAATATTGTGTCTTCAGCAAGTTTTGTTCCATTACCAGATTACCATGGTAATTATATATATTGTTTTATTGGTAGTTTGCTAATCTTTTCATCTTTCAATGAACAAAGCAATGATGGTTGACATGGTTTTTGTCTTCCATGCATTGAAAGTCAATATATGCGTAGATATTATAATCTTGTGGCTGTAGCAGCTGCATCAGACAGGGTTCACCTGACCTCACATCATTTAATAGTTTAAAAGTCAATTAATGCTTTCATGGTTATCTGTAAGTCTGTTTATCAGATACAATAAGCAGATAGTTAACTATATTTGATATATGGAATTATTGCAAGGACTGCATTTCTGTCAGGTAGGGTTTATCTGACCTTTACCTCATTCACATGAATCATGTGTGAATCATAGAATTTGATGTTACTAATTTTATGTGATACTTGTTGTACATGTACAACTGTTTTCTCTTAGACTTTCAACATTAATAAAGCAGACAAGACACTTCAGTATGTGCACTATTGTGATTAATTCTGCTAAATATTTTGATAGGAGAAATGAGCAGGAACAATAACTGATATATAGGTGGCCCAGAATTTATGGTGAAAAATCCTCAAAAAAACCTAAGGTTCAAAATGAAAGTCTTTCTAAAAGGACATTTAAGGCTCCCTAAATACACATGGCCTGATGTTTAGTTGTGCCTCATGCAATTCCAGACAATACAAACTTAATGGAATGTATACGTTTGGCATCATACAGTACAACCATGCAATTTATTCTGTAATCAGATACTGACATTTCAATGGTATTTTAAGACTTGGTTTTAAGAACATATTTAAATAAACAACTACTGTATGAATAAACAGAGCTATAGGGTAAAGGTCAGTAAGGTAAATTTTTGACTCAAAAGTATCAATAATAACAATCAGTTCTATCTTTGACAAAGAAAAGTTTTTGTAAATGATTCAAAGCTGAAAAGTTTTAAACCTAGAATTCTGATACAATATACTAGTACCATTATGCTATCAAGCAGTTTGATAAAATGTACCATGTTGGTTTCCTGCCTTGTCATAAAGATTATAAAAGATGTGCTGTTTTTTTGTGTCCTTATTTTTTGAAAATGTAAAATTACGAGGTGCATAAAAAATATTTTACAATAATGATTGTGTGTTAACTATTTAAAATGTAGGCAACGTGTTTTAAAAGACATTGCAATTACTTACGTGTTTTTATATGTTTTTCAGAGTCGATTTACTCTGAGGAGGGAAGTAACAGTTTCAAGAGGCATTCATTTTCATCGGATAAGCCAGTATTTCGATTCTTGATTTTCGATTGTGATTCCACCAGTAGTTTCCTTGTGGCTGGTAAAATTGTTAACATTCCAGTAAATCCTAGTGTGAACCTCGAGCTGGTCCAGCGAGACATTATTTTGAAATATGGAAGACCATTTTCGAATGTTCTTAACAATGATCAATATGCTGAAATTTTCGGTACAAACCATAAGGTTTTCCTGTCACCTATTCAATCAATATTTGTATTTCTTCCAAATGAAAGAACGAAACAATTAACATTTTTCATTTCTAAAACTTTTGCAAACACACCAATTCATATAAGCAACAATGCTATGCTTTTAGAGAGTCCTGTACCTTTTTTTTGTGTATCGCTTCCAAGGCCAATCACTCTGGACAACATTCAGTTCATTAAGCAACAGTTATCAGAGGAATTACTTCAACTGTGCTATGACAACGAAAACGCAGAAACTACATTAAAGGTAGAAATTTTGAACCAGTTACCGAGAAATGCTTTCTATTTTGATGTAGTGAAAATAAAAACAAATATAGTAAAATTTTCCTACCACCAATCTTTCCAGTCTTCTTTAGTTTTACATATAGAGCAGTTATCAACAGATACTATAGAGGAGTTTTTAAAAGCTTACTTAAAGAGAGCGGCTAAAGAAGTTGAAGAATTCCGTGGAAAAGACATTGCAGATTTTTCTGTTACAGATGACATTGGGAAAAGAGTTGATTACAATTTGAAAGCCATCATTTGTTTACTTTTCGATGAAAAACAGATTATGAAAGACATAAATTTTGATCATTCATACCCAACATTCATTGTTCATTTTACTCCTAAGCTGTGTTCCTATATTCAGTTAGGAGTCCGAATAATTGGTGAAGATAGGGGACACATGCATCCTTTCACTGTGTTTGTTAGATCTGATTGCTCAACATTCGAACTTAGGCACGATATTTCAAAGCATTGTCACTGGAACCCAAAATCCTTTGAAGTTTTCCTTCCTAGCAGTCCAAATGTCATTGATGAGGTTGACAATATTCAAAACCTGCCCAAACTAATTAGCTCAAATTCTGTGCTGACTGTTCGTAGAACTAAAAAAATAGTATTGACAATTAAATCTGGCTTACCTGATATGGACAGTTTTACCTTGCAAGAACATCCAATGTGTTCAGTTGAAGAGTTAAAGAACAAAGTGTCCAAAAGATGTGATATATTGCCAAAACAGTTTGACTTAATGTACAAAAGCAAAGTTTTGGAAGAAACCATTATTTTAGAAGATATCATTGAAAAGAAAGCAAATTTAGAGATGCTTTTCAATGAAAATAGGATTATATTCCGTCTATATCTGCTCAAAACATTACCAAATAGGACAAATACTGAATTCCATGAACATTTTATTCATGTCAAAGTCGATAATCCAGATGATCAAATAGGTGAAATCACATCTTTATTTGCTGAAAAACTCAAGATGGAAGAAGGTGAACTTCATTTGTTACATAAAGGATTTTGTGTTGAAAAACACAAGTCTTACAAAGACGCAGATGTCATAGATGGGTCTGTCCTCTGTTTATGTCATTGTGAAAATCCTGCCAAAGGTCCTGGCTCACAGACCATGGAAACTATTTTCCAGGCAACAACCACAGGATCAGTTGAAAAAGGTAAATATTTCAAGGAAAAAAATAACAACAGTTAAAGAGAGTTTTTTAAATATATAAGACTTATTTAAAGTCCTGGTCATTCGACTGAATAAACTTTGAAATGTCCAACATATCAGATATCAGGATTTAGAAAAAGAGGGATCGCTAAAATAGGCATTGTTTGGAGTGTAACATGTAAAAATTCCATGCATTAATCATATATATGATATATTTAGCACCATTAGGGAGGGGCCAGTGAAAATTTGATTCAAACAAAAACCAAAATTCTGTAATTTCTCTCCTCCTCTGAAACTACTGGTGATGTCAAGACTTTGTCAATGACGTTGCATTTAACATTTCAAGCTTAGATATGCTAGAAAAAATATTGTATTGTCTTCCTTATTTACACCAAAAGTCAGTATAATAGAAATGAATAAGTAATCCAAGTATTCAAATAAGGCGAAATATTCGACATATTACTGAAGAACAATAATGATAGTTCACTCAAGGCAGATTCCATAAAGAAAAGATAATTTCCGTCAAAAAGAACAATTTAATAAAAATAATACTAACTGTTATTTGAATGATAATATGTGAATGTTTTATTGAATATTAATGTTAAATAAAGCAAGAAAACCAATTCTGTTATGATAGCAACATTTTTTTAAGGTGTCCTTTATTTAAAAAATATAATGTGAATAGATCTATTTTTTGACAAAAAGTGTTTACTTATAACATAAGTATAACATGTATTCCAAAACAGAACCTTATTGGTGTTGATTTTGTTAAACATAATTTTGGGAATTTTTTAACTTTCTTATTTGGAATCTGCCTCATGTGCTCAAAGAATTAGAGAACTAATGTGTTTTTTAACCGCTTGTTGAAAATTATTCCATTTGGTATTCTTTTGTTTGTTATTCATGTGATTCTATAACCATGATAAATATCTATTTTATGATTTTCTAGTAACAGAACCTTCGATGGTAGCATTACAGATGAAATTGAGAAAACTAGAACTGCAGCAAAGTAAAAAGGAACCAAAGTTTAAGATTATCTCTAGAGATGTGCATAATAGGAAGATATTTAACAGAATGGTAGGTTGCTGTGTCTTCATTTGTACTCGTAAATACCAGTTTTAGTGAATTGCTGAAAAAAAAAATGTATAATTTCGTGGATACTTGATTTAGTGGATTTGATAATTCTGCAAACAGGCCACAAAGAAATTTTTACTTTGCTGAACATTTTAATTTGCTTTTATAAGAATTTCACACTGACCAAAAAAGCTTCAGTTCCATAGCTAATGAATTATGAAAGATGTGGGGTATATATGCCAATGAGAAAACCGATTGATAAAAATTTGTTGTTAATTTGCTTTTATTTTATATATGATCATGATGATTTCAATTGCTCAGTGACTATGACCCAAATAAAAAATTTTGAATAAAAAATGTCAGGTCAAAGTGAGATATATATATCGCATGAGTTTGAATCCCAGCCAGGGAAGAACAAAAAATTTGCTTCCGCAAATTTACAGATCTAACATTGTTGGGCTGTCGTTTAGATGAATTATATATACAGAATATATTTTCAGCCTTGTATTACCATCACTGCTGGTGATCCGATGGATAAAATCTGTTGTAGAGTCGTCACTGATTCAGACGTTCTTGGACCCCTCTACCAAGAAATTTGTTTTGCATGCACACGTATAAAAATTGCGGTTTTTATCCAACGCAATCATAGGTTTGAACCTTGTTTTCAATTTAGACTTGTTTATATTTTTTCGTTTGGGCTTGTATTATATTTGCCTTCGGGTTTATATGATCCGTTCATCCTATTTCGACTGTTTCACAATTCAAGAGTCTATCCTTAATTGAGGTAAATTATATGGCCTTCCAAATACCGTTTCAATTCCTAACATCACTGAAGAGACATTAATTGTCGAGATCTGGATATGGTGTACAAATTTTTGTGGTATACCATCTTTTCCGCAAGTTTATTGTTTTCTGTTTGGTATTAAATTAATAATAAGATCCATTTTTACATCTGGTGATCCATTTATTTGGCAATCGCCAATGGCAGTCAGCAGGGTTTAAGAACATCAGTTGTTCGACCTGCTAGTCAAATGCGTTTTTTTTAAAATATACTTTTTCACTTTTTGGTCTTTTGGAAAATGTTGTTTGTGCTGTATTAAAAATATATAAAAATTGCGGTTTTTATCCAACGCAATCATAGGTTTGAATGTTGTTTTCAATTTAGACTTATATATATATATATAAATATGTACAAGTCTAAATTGAAAACAATGTTCAAACCTATGATTGCGCTGGATAAAAACTGCAATTTTTATACGTGTGCATGCAAAACAAATTTCTTGGTAGAGGGGTCTTAATACAGCACAAAACATTTTCCTAAAGACCAAAAATGTGAAAAAGTATATTTTAACAAAATGCATTTGACTAGCAGGTTGAACAACAGATGTTCTTAAACCCTGATGACTGCCATGGTGATTGCCAAATAAACAGATCACCAGATGTAACAAAATGGATCTTAATTTTTAATTTAATACCAAACAGAAAACAATAAACTTGCGGAAAAGATGGTATACCTCAAACATGAGGTGCAAAAATTTGTACACCTTATCCGGATTTCGACAATTAATGTCTCTTCAGTGATGTTAGGAATAGAAATGGTATTTGGAAGGCCATATAATTTACCTCAATTTGGAATTGACTCTATAATTTTGAAGAGTCGAAATAGGATGAACGGATCATATAAACCCGAAGGCAAATATAATACAAGCCCAAACGAAAAAATATAAACAAGTCTAAATTGAAAACAACGTTCAAACCTATGATTGCGTTGGATAAAAACCGCAATTTTTATACGTGTGCACGCAAAACAAATTTCTTGGTAGAGTGGTCCAAATACAGCACAAACAAATATGTATATATACTTTATTTACATATGCTTAGAATATTTAATGTGAAATTATATTGAGAAATAATCATGTTACAATGAATTTTATAATGATTAGAATCTATAGCTAGGAGGTTGTAACTATCTGGTAGATTTTTTTTCGGACAAGATTTTATTTTAAATTACTTTATATAGGAATATTATCAAGTAAGACAATTGGACTGATTATGGGGAAAAAGCCTACTGAAGGGTATTTTACTGAACCTGGTCTAAGCTTCAGGGTATTCAAGATTTGACAATTTTCTAATTTTGTTTATTATATTTTACAGGTTTCAGTGCCACCAAACACTTCAAGATCTTCACATGCAGTTGATGTGTTAGATGGATACAAATCTGATACTGATTTACTCCGACAGAAGCAGGCAGCAAATTCATCATCATCAGAAAGTCAACTGGAAGCTCATTATAACTTTACAAACCGTGAACATGACCAGATTAGGTCTACACCAGGACCAAATAATGGCTCACATGTAAAAACAAGCACACCATTATTTAACCAGGGACCCAATAACAGACCATCGTTGAATCTAGATATACGGAGCACTTCCCCTCTACCAGAACAAGAGAAATTTTATCTATGTGTAACTCCACCACTATCCTCTAATAACCTTTCTGCTTTATCTGACAAAAGAGGGAACAATTTACCTGGTCAAATAGGATATAGCTTAACTGTGTGGGGTGACGGCAACCTGCCAAATATTCCTAGTATACTTGGATCATCTCCATCATTTACTAAAATGAGAGATGCCTTGGAACAGCCTAATGGTAAATTAACTATTTATTTTCCTAAAGCATTTGCTGGCTGCACTACTAAATTGAAATAAGATTCTTTGATCTGGCAACAAGTTTTTTGTCTATAGATATAAGAAGATGTAGTATGAGTGCCAATGAGACAACTCTTCATCCAAGTCAAAATTTAAAAAAGTAAACCATTATAGGTCAAAGTACGGTCTTCAACACGGAGCCTTGGCTCACACCGAACAGTAAGCTATAAAGGGCCCCAAAAATTACTAGTGTAAAACCATTCAAACGGGAAAACCAACGGTCTGATCTATATAAAAAATGAGAAACACTTATGAACCACATCAACAAACGACAACTACTGAACATCAGATTCCTGACTTAGGACAGGTGCAAACAAATGCAGCGGGTTTAAACGTTTTAATGGTACCAAACCTTGACCCTTTTTCTGAAACAATAGTGTAACATCACAACATAGAAAGACACACTATAAAATATCAACTGAAATAGCTTAACTCAATCAAAGAACATATTAACATCAATGAACATACACTGAACAAATAAATTTGACCTATGATACAATGTTAATACAAAATAAATAAACTAAGGGAAGAATAATAAAAGTAACATGTAATATCGCTATGAAATGTTAAACAAATTAAGAAAAACAATATGCTCGAACAAAAATGTCAGCCATTTGCAATAACTTTAAACACAGGTAAATGAAAATAATTTTGTTGTTAGGTATACGTGTACAGTTCCAATAGAGAAAGGAAATATTTTTACAAAATAAATAATTTTGATGTTCATAGTACGCCGAAAATTTATAGTAATACCAAACACCTATCAAAGCTAGTATATAGACTAGATATAACCCTGAATAACATTAAATAACAAAAAAGCATTACAATTAGTATCAACAGGTCAAATAAACAAGAATGTACGATTTGAGAGTACTTGCAGTTAGCCTTTTAAAAGTAGTAAAAGGAGACTTAAGAGTGTTATTGTTGTCGGCAGCTATGTCAACAATTCATTAATTTGTGATTAGGCCAGTTTTTAGTGAAACCACTGGTGGTAGGTCAACAAAATTTGTTATGCAGTTGTATTAGTGTTAAGAGGATGTGGTATGATTTACAATGAGACAACTAACATCAGAGACCTAATGACGTACAAGTTAACAACTATAGGTCTCCATATGGCCTTCAACAATGAGACAAACACATACCACATAATAAGCTGTAAAAGGCCCCGAAATGATAATTGTAAAACAACTCAAACCAGAAAACTAATTTGATGTGCAAAACAATAAATAAAAAACTAATATGATGTAGAACAACAAACAATAACCACTGAATTACAGTCTTCTGAATTGGGACAGGCACATACAGAATGTGGATGGTTGAATATAATTGTTGCCACCAAACCCTTCCCCTAAGGGGGTGTTAGGAGAACCACTAAGGGTTAGTTAAGGATCATGATGATAATTGGTATGCACTATGCAGTTGTATTAGCATTGGCCCATCTCATATTCAATGATATTTTTGGTCCAACCCCTCAGTCATTGTCTGTTGACTTTGAATCTTTTGATAGTTTAAATGGTGTAGTTTATGATTCGGTCAGTTTAAGGTAATTCAATGATATTTGGTATTAATTTGTATTAGAAATAGCTCGTCTCATTTCCATGGAGATTATGTAGCCTCGCCCCCTTAGTCATAGTTCATTAACTGAAAATTTTGCATAGTTTACATGTTATAGTTTGTGTTTAGGTTAGTTAATGGGGAACCACTAATGATAGGTCTATGGTATTTGGTATGAAGTTGTACTAGCATTGGCATTTCTCATTTCCTCAGTGATCATTTAGCCCTGCACCTTCAGTATAATTGACTTTGAATGTTTTAGAACTTTAAATATAAAAGTATTGCCACTTTGAATTCAACATTTTTATTATACTATCAAAGTTGCATACAGGCAAGTCATATCTCTGTGTCAACAGTTAATTTTTATTCGTTGTTAATTACAAAAGTTTTCCACATTGCATAAAAAATTCTGAAAAACTTGAGTTGACTTGCAATATAAACCATGACATTGCAAAACACATACATTTCAAAGAAAACAACAAAATGATGATGAAAATTATGTATAGTTTTTCTTGAATTAGTCTAAAAAGTTAAAATTTTGTAGGTCATAATCCATTGAATAAGCTATTCCTTCGGGTTTCCCATGAAATAATCAGCGACTGGAAAAATGTTGGCCGACATCTAGAAATAGGGGAAAGCAATATCAGTATTATTGACCAGAACTATGCAGATGTCAAAGAAAAAGCTTACTCTATGTTAACAAAATGGCAAGAGTTCAGAGGTCATGATGCCACAAAGGAGATACTGATTAAAGCATTAGAAGATTGTGAACTGAAGAGGGTGGCAGAGATTGTAGAGGAGTTTGACATAACACCATACGTACATGATGTTACCGACCTGGAAACTGATGGGGTTGATGACAGTTCAGGGTTGGAGATAGAAATGTTTGATTAAATCTATATGCCAAGGTCAGGGGAAAGGTAGAAAGGTTTGATCATGTGGGTGGAGTTTATTCCTGTTCAGAGGAAATTTAGAAAGTATAATGATGCCTACTATGGATTCATTTATTTTTGTGAGTACATTGTACCAATTTTCGTGGATGGGGTTTACAGAATAGAGAATAATGGGCAAAATATGCAGAAAACGGACCAAAATATGCAGATAAAGGACCAAAATAATACAGAATAGAGAAAAATAGGGCAAAAAAATAAAGAATAGAGAATAATGGGGTGCTAAAATATAAAGAATAGGGAATAATAGCAAATAAAAAATAAATTAGAGAGAAAAATGACCTTAAAATCTAGAGAAAACAGAAATGACGGACCCCCCATCCACACTTGTTAATTGTTGAAGATTGTACGTATGTTGACCTTTAGAATATTTTGATTTTCGTTTCTTGGTTGCTGTCTCATAAACTTATACTTATATATGTAACCTATATCTGCTTTTATACATTTTTATCAGTGGCAGTTCAATTTGTTTTCAAAAAGTGGATTTGAAAGGGTAAAAAAAATCCTACCTTTTTCATACTCGTGATAGAGTTGTCAAGTCACAACTAGAGATTTGAAATTTTCAGCTAGAGATTGAGCCTCATAACTGGAAATATTTTATCAACAATTTTATAGACATTTTCAATATTTATTTTGATAATATGGCTACAAATTTCCCGTTTTTTAGCTCACCTGGCCCAAAGGGCCAAGTGAGCTTTTCTCATCACTTGGCGTCCGTCGTCGTCGTCGTCATCTGTCGTCGTCGTCCGTCGTCGTTAACTTTTACAAAAATCTTCTCCTCTGAAACTACTTGGCCAAATTAAACCAAACTTGTCCACAATCATCATTAGGGTATCTAGTTTAAAAAATGTGTCCCGTGACCCGGCCAACCAACTAAGATGGCCGCCATGGCTAAAAATAGAACATAGGGGCAAAATGTAGATTTTGGCTTATATCTCTGAAACCAAAGCATTTAGAGCAAATCTGACTGGGGTAAAATTGTTTATCGGGTCAAGATCTATCTGCCCTGAAATTTTCAGATGAATCGGACAACCCGTTGTTGGGTTGCTGCCCCTGAATTGGTAATTTTATGGAAATTTTGCTGTTTTTGGTTATTATCTTGAATATTATTATAGATAGAGATTAACTGTAAACAGCATTAATGTTCAGCAAAGTAGGATCTACAAATAAGTCAACTTGACCAAAATGATCAGTTGACCCCTTAAGGAGTAATTGCCCTTTATAGTCAATTTTTAACCATTTTTCGTAAATTTTTGTAATCTTTTACAAAAATCTTCTCCTCTGAAACTACTAAGACAAATTTAACCAAACTTGTCCACAATCATCATTAGGGTATCTAGTTTAAAAAATGTGTCCGATGATCCAGCCCGTGAACCAAGATGGCCGACATGGCTAAAAAATAGTACATAGGTTAAAATGCAGTTTTTGGCTCATATCTCTGAAACCAAAGCATTTAGAGCAAATCTGACGGGATAAAATTGTTCATTAGGTCAAGATCTATCTGCCCTAAAATTTTCAGACCAATCAGGCAACACGTTGTTGGGTTGCTGCCCCTGAATTGGTAATTTTAAGAAAATTTTGCAGCTTTTGGTTATTTTCTCGAATATTGTTATAGATAGAGATAAACTGTAAACAGCAATAATGTACAGCAAAGTAAGATCTACAAATAAGTCAACATGACCAAAATTGTCAATTGACCCCTTAAGGAGTTATTGCCCTTTATAATCAATTTTTTACAATTTTCATAAATTTTGTAAATTTTTGTAAATTTTTACAAAATATTTTCCACTGTAACTGCTGGGACAAGTTCATTTTAGATAGAGATAATTGTAAGCAGCAAGAATGTTCAGTAAAGTTAGATCTACAAACACATCACCATCACCAAAACACAATTTTGTCATGAATCCATCTGTGTCCTTTGTTTAATATGCACATAGACCAAGGTGAGCGACACAGGCTCTTTAGAGCCTCTAGTTTTAAGCTCACCTGACCCAAAAGTGCCAAATGAGCTTTTCTCATGACTTGGCGTCCGTTATCAGCTGTCATCCATTAACTTTTACAAAAATCTTCTCCTCTGAAACTACTGTGCCAAATTTAACTAAACTTGGCCATAATCATCATTGGGGTATCTAGTTTTAAAATGGGTCCGATGACCCAGCCTTCCAACCAAGATGGCAGACATGGCTAAAAATAGAACATAGGGGTAAAATTGCCAGTTTTGTCTATTATTTTGAAAACTGATATAAATACAGAAAATCTGACTTGATGCAGAAATGTTCAGACTGTTGAGCTCTACCAATTGTCCATATATGTCAAACTGTCACACTACTTCTTATAGGAGTAATTGCCCTTAAATGACAAATTTTACCATTTTTTTTTATTTTTGTCTTGAGAACTATAATAAGAGAGAAACATTAAATTGCAAAAATGATCTGCAAGACAAGTTCTACAAATAAGTCTTATGGTCGAAATCATCAGTCGACTCCTTATTAGAGTTATTGCCATTTGATGACGATTTAAATATAATAGATAGATAGAAACTTAGATAAGCAAAAATGATCAGCAAGACAAGATCTACAATTAAGACAATATGGAAGAAATTGTTCCACAACTCCTTATTGGAGTTATTGCCCTTTAATTGTAATTTTTGTCTCGCCTTGACGGAGTCAAAAAGCAAGACAGAGGTATGCTGTTTCCAGTGGCGTCAACAATATACTAATTTGTGATTAGGTCTAGTTTATTATGAACCACTAAAATGCCCTTAAATGAGGATTTTTTACCCTCTTTTGTAATTTGAGCAAAAACTAAAGAAGATAGAGAGAAACTAAACAGACTTAATTATCATCAATATATACAAGATCAACAAAACAGAGATTTTTGTCATGAATTCTATTCCCGTCTACAATGTTGGAGAGTGTCCTTTGTTGAATATGCACATAGACCAAGGTGAGAGACACAGGCTCTCTAGAGCCTCTAGTTTAGATAATAGTATTACTATTAGTGTATTCTCTAAACAAGATAAATGTAGAACTTAATTTTGCCTTTGTCATTTTAAGAATTGCTTTGAAATCTTTTTGACTTAATAAAGACAAGTGAAAAAGAAATTGACAGCAAGTCAATCTGTTTGAATGAAATTTGGCAAAAAGAAGTGGTTTTTAGTCCTCATATTTAATTGAATATTATAATCTATTTCCTAATGATCAGTTTGTGTATTAAATATCACCCCTTATAATGATAAAAAAGTAGACATGAGGTGTTCTGAACAAAAGGTGAATGTAATCAAAGATGGCAAATATTTATGTATTTTATTATGCAATCATGAATAGTACACATATGCATGTAATTTATTTTATATAATTTATACTGAGTCTTACCCTTCAAAGAAATACTATATGTCTTGTCATCCAGTGCCCTTAAAGAGCTATACCTCATAACCTTTAAAGTGCTATACCTTATTAGCAGTTTGACAAATATTAATTACACTTTACACAGTTGTAGAACACAATCTGATGATGTGAAAAAAGGAATATGTTTCCAGGCCAACATGTTAAAGGGGAGATAACTCAATGTATTTACTTCAATATACTATTCTATTATTGGGAAGGGGGATTCTTTTGTGAGTCTAATCGCAATTATTTTCAAGCCAACTGAAAGCTCATAATAGCCACTGGCTCATTGTAATGAATCATTTATTTGTTAATTTATTGCAAATTATGTTGTAATCTGAACTAAGTGTTCATAATTTAACGTCCAGTTTCACTCTTTTCACAATTTAACAAGGTCAATAAATTTTTGATATTGTATTAATTACACTTTACACAGTTGTAGAACACTATGTGATGATTTCAAAAAAGGAATATATGCCCAGGCCAACATGTTAAAAGGGAGATAACTCAATGTATTTACTTCAATATACTATGTAATACTCTTATTGGGATTAGTGGGGATTCTTTTGCAAGTCAAATCACAGTTCTTGATCATTTTAGCTTATCGAGCCAACTGAAAGCTCATTAAATCAACTTGCTCATTGTAATGAATCATTAACATGTAAATTTATAACAAATTATGTGGTAAACTTAACAATGTGTTCATAATTTAACGTCTAGCTTTCACTTTCTGAACAATTTAAGAAGGTCAGTAGAATTTAGATATTGCAATGAGAGAGATATTTGTTTACTTATAAAGTTGTTATATACTTATTTAACAATCATTGGATGGAAATGTATTTAGTTTACACAGAAATAGTGTACATTCTATAAATTCCAGAAATGTAAGGATTATATTATTGAAATCTCAAAAGTGCCAGTAGAATTATATATATATATATATCGTGTAAAATGCTTTTAAGTTTTCATTTATTATACAGATTTTGTTTGTTATGCTTGTATTTGTCTTCAAATATCTGTTAGCAGTAGTGTTTTTTTTCTTTGACAACAGAAAAATTGTCAGATCTTTTTTCTCTCTTTGCCATAGGCATATTATTGCTATTTTTGTTCTGATATTTATCATCATGCATTAGCAGACAAATATGCTTGCTTGAAATATTTCAAATAAAATTCTCATATTTAATATGACAACCTATATTTTTGCCTGCATGAACTGTATATTGCAATTTGGTAAATGTCTCATGTCTAATACATAACTAAATTCATACACTACCATTACGTCAACATGCACCTTTTACCATTTACATGTTTCTATAAGATCTACTTGATTGCCTCAGTCAAGCTGTTTTAACTTGAGTTGTTGCATTAATAAAAATCAAGGGCTGTAAATTTAGAAATTCATGCAATAACTTTATTCCTTACATTGTAACTTACCAAACAGACTTACTGTTATAACTGAAATTTTGGGTTTTAATTAAATGCTATCTCCATTTTACTACAACATGTAAAGAAAGTTACTCTTCTTAAATTAAAAGTTCCTATAGCACCTGAACTAAAGAGGGTTTAAGTTTGGTCAAAACAAATAAAAACAATGGAAGAAAAAATATAGAATGGAGAAAAAATTGTTAAAAAAATAGAATAGAGGATAATAAGTTGCTAAAATATAACCCATAAAACATAATGGGCCAAAAATAGAAAGAATTGAGAAAAGTAACATAAAAAATAAATGAATAAGAAATGAGAAATGAAGAGTGTTACCCTAACATTCCTGTTTTATTCAGACACAAGCCTATTTTATCAACAATAATAAAACATGTATGATCTTAAGCAGGGGCGGATTCAGGCGGGGTTGTGGCTGAGGTGCGCCCCCCCCTCCCCTAAAATTTGCAAAGCATGGGTTGTCCTCAGCTTAATAAAGAATATTTTGATAATTTTACCTCAAACAAATTTTCGTCTGACTCCGCTCGGAGTTTTGCGCCCCTAACCTAAAATCTTGGATCCGCCCCTGATCTCTAGGATAACATAGTTTGCATGATTCTTTGATTAATTGTGAATAGCCCAAAAATAGATAGGTTTCGAATGATGTTATTTGAGTTTGAGTTAATTTCCTTGGCTGCCATTTTGGAGAGATAAATGATTGATTTTCTTATTTGTCTAACCAAATTGAAACTGTGATACACACAAGTATCCTGACAAGCTAGTAGTAATGAATTAAGCAAGGCTAAAATATTGTATAGAACAACTTTTTTTCCAAAGTCTTGTGGTCAGTAGAAGAAGTTGAATTTGGCTGATTTATAAAGGAATTATTGCACTTAGACCTCCATCATGGAAACCAAAGGGAAGTAACTCTTCCTGAAATTGGCTCAATCAAAACCTATCTATACAGATAAAGTATTCATATATGCAAAAAATGTTGTCTTTTGTGCTGTTTATTTTGCACAGGCAGTTTAATTGTTGTTGTCCACTTTGAAATGACCAAGAAATATCTGTGATTGCTCTATTTTTTTAATGAAAATAACCATCATGACCATAAAGTATAATATTTTCTTTTCACAACACTGTACTTCAATAAATACAACGTTTTTATAAATATTTTTTTTTAAGATTGCATTAGTTTGATTTTAAGACTAGGATTGTAAATGAAGAAGTAAATTTTTGAACCAATTTTTTGTATATATATTCAAGACAGCTATGCAACAAAAATATTTAGTCTTTCAAAAAGAATATATATATATTGATAGATATGATATGGTGCTTCGTTTTTGAAATATTATTCTGTATTTTTTACTTTTTATTTCAAAATGATTTATTTGAATTGTATTATCAACTTTAACTTTGAATCTGAAATTCTCATATGTAAATTTTTTTGAAATTCATTGTTTTGTATATAAACTAAATATTGTAGATAATTATGTTTTGAGCAATTCCATTTAAACATACATTGCACCAAGGGAAGGCACTTTCTAAAAGGGTAACCTTAATTAGCCAAAGTTAGAATTTCACTTACATTTACACTTTACCTGCCACCAACCCAAAGGGGAGATTTAAAAGTGCCTTCTCTGGGTTCCATATAAAAAAGATGTGCTATGATTGTCAATGAGACAACTCTCCACCAGAGACCAAATGGCATTATAGTTAGCAACTATAGGTAACCATGTGTATGTTTTTATGGAACAGCACTAATTTATTATTTAAATGTATATATTAACCAATTTTATTTGGAAGATATATTTACCTCCTGACTCAAAGGGGGCATCAAAGTTAGTGGTTTAAGTAGTCGAACTACTGTATCACTAGCCTGTCAACACTGAGGTTGTCAGTTCTAATTCCGCGTGTGGCAGGTGCGTTCGACCCCAATCTAGGATTGTCAGTTTTCTTACCGAAAGTCAGTGGTTGTCTCCTGGCGTTCAGGCTTTCTGTACCAATATAAACTTACTACCACAAAATAGCACATTAGTGCTGAAAGTAGCGTTAAACACCAATCAATCAATCTTGATTCAAAGTTAAGACAAGTTATACAATGCAGGTGATAACCATAACATTTGTCCCCAAATATCCAATACACAAGGGATCAGTTCGATTTGACGATTTTTGCTAGAGTTATGGGACTTTGACAGTTTTTGTTTTACCATTGTATCACAATGACACCTTGCCAATGCAACTCTTCCAAGAAAATATTTGACAGAAAGCTCATACTTAATGGGATTGTTTCCCATCATAGTTGACTATACATTATACTGTGATATTACTGTCATTTTGATTTGACCATGCGAAATATTAAACACTGCCTGTGTATAAAGCAAAGCAAATGTAAACTTTATATTCTGTGACTGGGACCAAGTTAGATGCCAAGCCATAGAAAGCATATATATTTTTTTGAAGAAGTACATTTTATATGAAAGCTGTTGCATTTTATTCTGTTGCATTGTTTTACATTGTATATTTTTCCATTATTTTACAGATTGTATTTATATTATTTGAAAAAATGCAATAAAAGTTATATACAGTCCTACACATAGCCATCAAATTGAAAAATTTTAAACAACTACTGTTGAGATAAAAACAACATAAAACTCAAGTGGCTGTCAACATTAATTTAATGAAATTTGTCTAATTTGTAATTTTATCAGTAAAATTAACATTACACAGATTGGTTCAGATATCTTGCTAGCAGTGATAATTTCTACATCCTTTATGATAAAACTAGTGTACATAGATGGCATTGTTTTTGTGCAAAAAATGAAATATAATTTCAGGTGTATATATGACACAAAGAATGAACAATATCATGAATTTATGTTAGGGATGAAAAAAAATCAGCAGAAAGTAACTGTTTGGTAAAAACATTTCAACTAGTTATAATCATGATAATAGATAAGATCATTTTAAAAGCAAGATAGAATTTTACAATTGAACATGCATATCTTTCACATCTGTATGACAATTGGCATTTTTAAAGTTCATCTTTTCAGTTATTTTGCACTAACATGTGTTTAGTGTGACGTCCATTTTCACTGAACTAGTACACACTTTTGTTTAGGGACCAGCTGAAGCCCGCCTCTGGGTGCGGTATTTTCTCACTGTGTTGAAGACCCATTGGTGGCCTTGGGGTGTTTTCTGCTCTTTGGTTGGGATGTTGTCTCTTTGACACATTCCATTCTCAATTTATCACACAATTCTTAAAAACGTTACTAAAATAAAGAACAAAAAAAGGGGGGGGGGGTGGAAAAATTTAAAATAAAATTTTCATTTAAATTTTATAAATGAATAAAAAATCCATAAATATCAGGATTCACAATTGATTCTTTTAGTAAATTTACTAAGGCTCTAGCATAATCCACTCTCCCTCCACACACACACACACACAGACATTATTAATATTTCAGGACAAATGTAATTGTTATTTCATCATTTAGTCATATAAGAAACAACATTCTAATTCTGAGCTGACCTGTCTTTGCAGATATTCGTTAATGCTTTGTGCTAAGTGGAGAAGCAGCAAACACCAATCTTATTAAGTCTCCCAAACGAAGTTTGGGAAGACTTATTGTTTTTGCTCAGTTCTTATTATTATTATTATTCTTCTTCTTCTTCTTCTTCTTCTTCTTCTTCTTCTTCTTCTTCTTCTTCTTCCGCCGCTTTTAAATTTGAACTTGTCCGCACCCGTTCTCCAAAACCGCTTGTCAGATTAACTTAGGGTTTCACAATATGTTAGACTAACATGTCTAGTGGTGCAATCAGGGTTTTGTTTGTGCAATGGGGTTTATAAAGAGGTAATTTGGGGGGCAAAAAGAAAAGAGGGTTTTACTATAGAACCCTATGGGATTTTATTTTTTTTAATTTTCAAATGATTATAAATTGAAAACCGTTTGTGATAGACACAATCTTTTTAATTGAAAATGTTCTAAATGATAAAGCCCATTTAATGAAATACAGGGTTAGTCCCCAGGGGTCACCCCCACCCCCTGCCATTTAAGAAAGTTCTAATACCTTGTAAGTGGTAAAGATCCCCACCCCTAAACCATATATATTCTGGTTTGTCGTGCTAAGATGGTTTGAATGATATACAGGGTTAGTCCGCAGGGGTCATCCCCACCCCCTGCCATTTGAGAAAGTTCTTATATCTTGTAAATGGTCGAGATCCCCACCCCTAAACCATATATATTCTGGTTTGTCATGATAAAGCACATCAAATGTAATACAGGGTTAGTCCCCAGGGGTCACCCCCACCCCCTGCCATTTAATTTTGTCTTAACTTCAGAACCAGCCACCTCCCACCCTATTTTAATCACAACGTCCAGATTCTAATTTCCATGATTAAGACTTCAGTGCTATATAAACAACCTGTTTGTAAAAGAATACAATAAATAAGCATGAAAATAATTACTTTTCTACTTTCTTTCTTATTTTTTTCATAAAGTGAAATCTCTAAATCTGTCTATGACAAAACCTGTAGTCAGGTAGTGTTTATATTATTTGGAGTCATATTACACCATCTTGTACATAGTTTAACTTTTTACGGATAAAGATTGAAACAATAATATATTTAAATGAAAGTGACAGATAAAAATTGAAACAATAATATATTTAAATGAAAGTGACAAGTACTTAGATAATACTAGCTGATCTGACATTTAATGCCAGATGAAATAGCGCTCAAGAATAGCGAAAAATAGAGGGCTGTGTGGTGGACTGTATATATTTATTACTGTCAAATTTACATAATTTGTTGAATGTAAAATCATAGGATTCTAAATCTAAATCAAATAAAAAGGGGCATTATAAAATTACATGACGAGCACTGCGAAGGGAATGAAAAGAATTCAAAACATTTCTTGTCATTAGAAAAAACATAATTATGAAAATAAATGTATCAACAAATTAATTGTAATGACATTAGTATTACATCACAAGAAAAAAATACTAGACCAAGAGAGAAGTTTCTATGAAAAATTCTTTATTAATTTTTTATAAGAAATTTTGGATTTTTCTGTTCTGTCTGTACACGAGAGGGATGTTTGTTGAAATATTAACCAGTATCGTGTAAGAAGGGGGAGCTTGATTTTTTAATATTCAAGTACATGTACAATGAATGTTTTGTGATGATAATAAATGTTCTATGTGATAATATGTATTATCGCTATTTTGTGTATGTTTCCTTTGATCTTTTTTTGTGATAATTTTTCATATCATGCTACTCGCTTGAGATAGAAAATTATCAGAAAATTATTGTCAGAAACTAAGAGCGAACATGCCGTTGTCAATGTAAAAATTAACGACATCATAGGCAAAATAGCGATAAACAGATTATCAATGGTCTTTCAAATCTCATTTGAAAACCCATCGATAATATATAATATGGCCGTGTTTGGGGAAAATATGCACATGTGTCTGAATAGTATGGTCTTTATGATTGCATTTCAAATTAAATTTTTAATATTTTTTTTAAAATTGCATTTATTTGACTTTTAGCCTTTTGTGGAGAAAATTTTACTGTACTGTAAACAGGTGATATGAATAAACAAATTAGTATTACTTTGATAAAAACTAAAACGCTTGTGTGCAGTATTTGTTTCACAGAGGTATATATATCATGAAATTCAAGCACCATAAAGCAGATGAAATTATATTATTTTTTTTATATATTTGTATTTAGATAAATAGAATTTATTTTAATACTAAATACTATGGAAGTTCAAGACAGTTTATTGTAAATAATTTAATTTCCTTAATTAATGTACATACTTAAGACTGTCCTAAATAATAACATGAACACAGAAAAAAAATCATAAAGGGAGAATTGTGGTAACAGTCCTATTAATAACATTTTTTTACTGATAAAACTGCTGAGATTTAGAGAGTTATCTTCTATGTGAACTCTTTGTAAAACACAACTTGTCTCACTTATTTGATATTTTCTAAACAATTCAAATTGATTAAATAGTTGTTTTAATGACTGATTCATACACTACATCCTGCTTACACCCATATTGAATTTTTTTATATGTTGATATTTTAACAGAATCGTTTCTTCTTATTATAAGATTGGCAGTATATACTCTGTTTGATTTCTTTAAATCTTTAAAAATGAATCATGAAAATCAGATTTTTTCAATTATGTTGCCTATTTTGCAGATGCTGTCTTGGTTAAAATTTGTGCATAAGTTCTAGTCTTTAAAAAAAGATATTAAATAGGCAAATTAAAAAAGATATTAACAAGGCAAATAAAAGGTAATAGAGAGAATGAATTTACTGTGACAGCTACTTGTCAGGCCTTGTTGTAATAAATTAAACATTCTGACAGCCATTGACATACTCAGACTCAAAATATCAACCAATCAAATGACTGGATTTGGTGTCTCAGCACAAACTTTGTACGCCAAGTACTGAATAAAGATTTATGATTGGAAGCCTTAGTGTTTAAGTCGCAATTAAAAATTACATAATTTAAATACGAAACGGCGAGATCACTTGATCACATGTCTTTCATTGAACTTTTAAGTGACAATTGAATGGCTGTTGTGGTCATTAGCTGTACCTCCCTCTGCATAGGTTGATTTGTGAAAACCATGTTTACTAAAGATATCTAATGGGAAACATTTTTCATTCATTGATAACAAGTTTTGAACTTAATTGGGAGAAAATGATGGGATTTAAAATTTAGTTACCAGTGTTCCCACATATAAAATTTGAATTTTTTATGTTTAATTTTTTGAAGATTTATAGAGCTCCAACAGACTGTAATAAATATACTTTCTTCCATAGTAGTTTCACAATATGATAGTGGAAGTTTCCTAATACTATAGAAAATATAAACTAAATATTAAGCAGTAGGGAAATAGATGTCACAAATTTTAAACAATAGAGAATGACAATTTTATCAGAGGCACATTGGGTGGGTTGGTTGGGGAGGTTGGAACCTTTTGGAGCGCCATATATGATAAATTGATTAAATTCATAGACATTTTACAAGTATCACTCTAAACATTGGCTTGCCAAACCCACCCCCTCCTTTTTCAAAATAAATTAATGACAATATAAACTTAAAATTGTGAGTAAAATCTGTTCAAATGATAAAAATAAAATGATTGGTGATTGACTGTCATTGTTTGTTATTGGTATATACATATGCTTTGAAAATGAAGGTTAAAACATAAACCAGATCTCATGGAAACACATTTTTGATTGTTATGACATGTTAGGTAGCAGTATCAAAATTTTATTGGAAAAACAAAAAAAGGCAATATTTTGTCAGGGTATTATTTTTCAAGTCAGTACTAAAAGTTTATTTTTAAAAGACTATTTTTAAAATGTGTTCATCAATATTTTTTTATACAATGTCAATTGAGAGCATTATACATTGCATATTGATATATTTACAATGAATTGATTCAGAATAAAGTTTGTTTAGAAGAGAACTGTTGAATTACCATTTACAAAGTCTTATGATGGAAATTTCTGTTGGAAAAATCATTACAATTAAGTATATATAATATATACAAAAGGGCATTGAGGTGTTGGCCTATTTGTGTTTGTTTATTCAGATTGTTTAATATGTAAATTAGATAAAAAAAAGGTGTTACCAAAGGGCAATCAAAAACTGTAAGTTAAAGAATAACTGCATGTAAAAAACCATAGCATAAAAAAAAGACAAAAAGATAAAACAACAGTTCATAAATACTCTTTGGACGGTTCAGCAGTTCCTACTCCACTTGCAAAACTTAGCCAAATATAAATATCATACTTTAAATGTCAGATAAAACACTTTGATATGCATATAATTATCCTGTCAACCTAGTTTATTAACTTATTCCTATTGATGCGTACTTGATTTGTATCTTCTTTGTCTATACTCTACAGTACATACACTCATGGATTATGACAAAAAAAAACTTAGCCTCCATGGCTGAAAATAAAATGCACAAAATTTGGTCTAGAAAAAATGTTTGATATGTCCATTAAGACCAACATTGTCAGATGACTACTTATAGCTGTTATTGTCCATGAATGGTGGCTTTTGACCAATTATAAAAGAATTTTTGCTTATTATTTTGAAAACCTAAATAGATCGACAAAACTTAAAACAGCATTGCGAGATCTACAAAAGTCAATATGATTGTCATTGTTAACTGAATCGAGCTCCTTGTAGGAGTAATTGCCAGAAAATCAAAAGTTTTTTCATTTATTTAGTAGTTTTGTCTATTATCTTGAAAACTATCATTATAATAGTCCGAGAGGAACTATAAACTGCAATAATGATAAGCAATTGAGGGTCTTTAAAAGGAATGATAGAATTCTGCAATAGACATTATTGGAGAAGAACCTTTTTTTTCACCATTGAGAGACAAGATTTTTTTTAATATTTGTATATACTGCGTATTTAGTATATACCAGTGTTAGGCGCCGTCTTAAACTTGCAGTGACATGAGTGAGGTGAGTTTTTTTTTGTTCCGTGTTGAAAGGCTTTCGAACTTTTTTCATCTGAGCGTCACTGGTTAGTCTTGTGTGGACGAGAC